CTTTAGCAAGTACTCACTGATTCTTTTAACTGCTTCTATATACTTTTTCCACCTTTTGTCTATTAATATTCTTATGGCTGACCCTTTTTTCTTGTTTATTGCTGCACTAGTCCAGTAACCCTTATACTGTGTGCTGCAATTGTACAATAAAAACTTTCCTTCCTTTTCTGTAATATTTGTTTCTGTTATTTATACTATTGTAAGTTCTTTTTTACTTGCCTATCTTATAAGGTTTTCTAACTTTCAACTCCTAGTTTTAAGTTCATAAATATTATGATATGCAATTTTGATTTCTTTTCTTTCCTATTTTCATTTTTCATTTAGATATTTATGTTGTGTTTTTATGTCTACTTTTTTTTGTTTTTCTTTTTTCTTTGTTTCTTTTTTGTGACCAGAAGGTGTTTTTATGTTGCTTTTTTCAAAATTTCTTCTTTCTTTATGCAGAAAATTTTCAATCTTCTGGCTATATTCATTGGTTCAACTGAGGCATCCTTAGGAGCAATCAGCCAGAGTTCCCTCTGTTGTATCTCTTATGTTCTCTAATCTCTCAAGTCTTTCTACAATTTACTTCAGGATGTCACTTGTATATAAGGTTTCTTCTTGTGCTTGAAACTTGGTTTCAGCTATTTTCTTTCTATGAGGTTTGTCTTTTTTTCTGAATAAGTTTATATGTCTTGCTTTATTTTTCATAGCTTGATTTTGTATATAGCCTCTGCTTGTTATTATTCAAACTTCTACTTTTTGATTTTGTCTTCTTCTTCTGTTTATGCTTGACCTATGTTTTTGTTTTTCTTTTCTGTTAATGTTTTCTTCTGTATCAAAGGCTAAACTAAACCTTTCCTAACTTCTTTTTCTTTTTGTTTGAGGCTTTCTCTTTATCTTGTTCTTTCTATTTCTTCTTTTATTCAATAAAGTTGAAAGTTGTTAAATATGAATAGTTTTGATTGGGCTGATTTTATATCTTCTTCTATTGTAAACATGACTGTTGCTGTTTTTTTTTGATTTTCATTTCTATTTGAAGGTATATAGACTGATTTAACCTTTTTGTTTTTCAAACTCTGTAATAGTAGATCTTCTAAGACATTTTCTAATAGTTTTGTTAATTTTATTGTATATTTTCTTTGTCTTTCTCTTGCTTATAATTCTCTATTCTTTTGGTTACTCATACTAATTTGTTAATATTTACTGGTATAGCTTATAGTATGTTTTCATGTGTTTCTTCTATTTGTATTATTGCTAAGGCCTTATACTTTGATCTTTTAATTCTTACTACATGGGCTTTTTTAAATCTTCTGCAAATGTATTCTACTTCTTTATTGTTTATGTTTATTGGCAAGTTCCAGATTGTTATATAGTTTGTCCTCTAATTCTTTACTTATTTCATATTGGTTTTCATATGTTTTAGTTTCATTTTCTCCCACTCATGTTTTTCTTTTTTGGTTCTTGTTTTATTGTCTCTTTTTTTCTGATATCTTCTATTATATTGTATTTGTTTTTTTCTACTACCTTTCTCTTTCTCTTTTGGTATCATTTTATATTAGTTATTCTTTTTTTTGCTAATTCTTTATATTGTCTCACTTTTGCCATATTCACAGTCAAAGTCTATCTCTATCTATAAGTTTCCTCTTTTGAAGACTTCTCTAATGTCTTTAATATGAATATTGTTTCTTAGAGACTATTTAATAAATTTTATACTATCTTTTTTCATTTTACCAGATACATTATGTACTAGTATATTAGTAAGTAAACTGTTGTTTTAGTTGCAGTTTTTTTTGTTCAGAGCCTACATGCTTTCTTCTAAGAGTTCTTCAAATATGTTAATTTCTCTTTTAATTTCTTTTCTGGTGTCTTCTTGTTCTTGCTTCTCTTTTTATTTTTTTGCATTTATCTTTTGAGTAAGTAAGTTTTCTTTCACTTGGTCTTTGTTTATTAGACTTACTTTTATACTTACTTTTTTTTGTATACTTTTAATATTATCTCGTAGTTTCTTTTCAACTGTTTTTTTATTTTCTGTCTTTTTTTCTTGCATTGCTTTGTGTGATTCTTCTTGACTTCTGTTTGCTTTATTTGATTGTTGCTATATTTCTTTTCTCTTGTTCTGTAACTGCACTATGGCTGGTTCTTCTATTGTAACATTTTTGCTTTGTTTGTTAATATTAATCTTCTTGTCTGATTGCTCTTCTTCTGCTTTTTTGATTATTTTTCTGGTTATATATAGTAAGGCAACCTTTATTGGATCTTGTTTTGTTAGTATAGTAACAATTTCATCTTCTCTGTCTGGTATTGCAAAGATTTTGCTTGCTTGATTAAAGAACATCTTGTTGTGTATACTGTTTGCTACCTAATATATTCTCTTAATATAGATTAATATTAGACTTTCTTTTCAGCTTTGTGTACTACTCATTTTTAATCTTAATATTAGTGATTTCTGTTTGCTACTTGTTGTTCTGGAATCTTCTATGCTTATGTCTATTACTATCTGGATTAGATTTATTTACATATTGACTAATTTACATGTTTGTTTTGTTTTTCTGTTTACATGTTGCCATAATCTACAGATTTATGCTTCTAGATTACAGTGAATTTTCCAAATTCTGTTTTTTCTAGTGTTAACCAAGGCATTTTCTGTTCTATTCTTTTAGCAAGTTATCCAAGTTTTCTCTTTCTTATTCTTGTTATATCTTCTTTACTAGCTTTATCATTTTTCTTAGACCTGTAAAGTCAGTCTATACAGTCATTTTTTGGTAAACTTCTAAATTGCTTTTTTACAACTTGTGTATAAGTGATTAGCAGAAAGAGTTTAATAATTGGATCATTAAAACTTCCTAAATTTTTTTTTAACTATAAATAAAAATATATATTTATTATCTAATTCTTTTTCTCTTTTTTTTTGAGAAAGGAGTATTAAGGATCTAATTCTTTTTCTTAATATAATCTATTTTATAAAATTTTTAAAAAATTCTTATATCAAATATACAATTTATAAACTAGTATAAAACATTAAACTATTAAAATACAAAACATATTACTTTATATATCTATAAAATACTGTAAATTATATTGTTAACCAATTAATTACACTATTATTTACTATATACTTTATATTTTCAATTATTTATATCTACTGTATTAATTAATTATATAGATTTAATTTTAACTATCTAATAATTATGTTTTTTATTATTATTTATACTAAACGCTAATTATTTTTTTTAAAAAAAATTAAAACAAATATAAAATATTATTTTAATATAACTTTACATATTATAATAATTATCTTTTATAAATTTTTTTTTAAAACAAATACATATTTCCGTTTCTGGTTTTAGCGCGACTGCGTCGCGCAGTTACCTAATTTATTTATTAAATCATCGATTGGATCATTTTCTACGATGCTATTCTATGCATATTGGATAATTCATTTATTAATTGCTTAAAAATTATTGTTAAAGTTATTAATTTTTAATTTTTTATCGTTAACAATTCGTAATTAACAATTAGAAATTCCCATCGCTAGTCCTAATATTTATTACAATATAATAATAATAATACGTAATTATACAGAACTTAATAATTGGTTGAAATCATATTTCCCCTTAATTTTATTATTTTTATTTCCTGTTATTTTGACTGAATTCTATCAAAACCCTATATATTACAAGACTATATGAATATGCATTTACTTATATAGATCTAACCTCGAATTTCTCTTTCTGCCTAAAGATACTAACGATATGCCAGTACTGTTGCTAAATCACCTCCATCCTTTAATACGAATAACTAATACTATCAAATTTATTATCTTTTAATTTATTAATAAAACAATTAAATTAATGCTTAAATCCAACCTTTCTTCGTCTAATTGACTAATAAATTTGAATTAATTCTACATTCTTTATACATTAAGAATGCTTTTTTTTTAAAGAACCCCCAAAATAACCATATAGAACCTTGCATTACAACTCGATAGTCAAAAATAAAATTTAATTCATTTTTTTAAAAAGTACTCTAAATTATATAAATGTAAAAAATTAAATCGAATTTGTTGAGCAATAAACTTCTATCTATAACTTCAACTACACCAAACAAAGACTAAATGCTCAACTTGAATATTTTTACATCCTAATTTATCTCTGATATTAATTTTGTCTTTATAATAACTACCTATACTTCTATCTTTATATATAAAAAATACTTTGTACTCTATTCTATAACCTTGAATCCCATATCTAAATACCTTAAAAAAACAATATTAAATAAAATAATATACTATATACATATTTATATTATATATATATGTTTAAATACAATAAAATCTATATATTTTATAAATTTTTAAATATATCCAACTCTACTAATATAATCTTATTTAAAATTTAAACTATTATTTTTACTTCTTTTAAAAAATATTACTATAACAACCTCAACCGGGCGGAGAAGCCGCGCACATCTGCATCCTCTAGTTTTAGCTATAGTAATAGAATAAAATCTCATATTTTAATACCTAATTTATTGGTTTTTAAAGGCCAATTTTTACTTTTTAAAATGCTTAGAATATTGCTAATATTTTCCTAATTTAAGATTAAATTCACAATTTATTAATTCGAAAGCTTATAAAGTACTTTATAAGGATTATTATTGGCAAATAAATCATATTTTAAATTTTAGAATTTTAGTAAAGCAATAAATTAAGACATTAAAGATGATGTTGATTCATAACCAGATGAATGTAAAAGTTAAGCGAAACCAGACATTATACAAAAGCCGAGATCTAATTTATTGACTTAACAGAGTATTGATTATACAACTGTTTCAAACTCTAGTCTATCTGTCAATTTGTTTATCAATAAATAACTACCAACCCATAAAATACTTTATAAATTCTATTTGATATTTAAAATAAATAGCGGCCTAAAATATTTAAAGTGATAAATTAAAATGATATTAAGAGAAATAAAGATTGTAGAATTGTACTCTATCCTATCTACCCATCTTCACAGTTAATCAATCTTTTCACCATGTTCTGAATCACTATGTCGTCTTGTTTTTCTTATCTTCTGATACGGTGCTGTATTATTCCATTGATGAAGTCGATAATTTGGCGGAACAAGACTAGGCCAATTTACAAAATCAGTTCCGTGGACCACAATATAACGAATGAGGAACGTAACAGCAATAAAATCGATGAACATGATGAAACGTATTAAGTAAGCAAAATCTGTAAATTAAAGAAGTTAATAGATTGCAATGACAAATAAAATGTAAGATTTCGATTGGTAGTGACAAGACTTACCAGATTTTGAAATCGTGTATAAAAATAAGAAGAAAACAATGCATGCTGCTAATATTTGAGGAATCTATATTGCACAAATGATTTAGACACTAACAAATGACAATATAAAATTGTTACACAATGCGATAGTTAAATTGACTTACTATCTTAGTTTGGAACAACCGATTGTCAATGAATGGTGACACGCCGGATTCAACTTCATAATTGCCCAATAATAGATCATATGCATCCTAAAAGATATAGATAAATTCATATTGTTTATCTATTAAATGTCAATAATTGCTTACAACTATAAGCTAACCTGCCGTGATCCATCCATAAAGTTATTCATCACATAACGAGTAACAGCCGTTTGTAAATCCATGGCTGCCCCTTGCTTAGTTCTCTTGCCGGTTCTTTAAATCATAAAATTAGGGTTAAAAGATGTAAAAAAAAAAAATGGACTGAAATGCGATTAAAGAATTTACCTAGTATAATCAGTTTTCATGGCACCTGTTCCGGAGTACGGCATACTGATAGCATCTGCATTATCTGCCCAAACTAGATTAAAATAGTTTTTAAGTTCGATTATTATAACAATTAATGCGGTTATTAAAAATTAACGAGGCGAAAGCCCACTGTTAAATAACACACTAAGATTAAGAATTTTCATATGAAAATTGCTACATACCATTCCTAAATTTTTCCATGAAATCACCAATTTCTTCAATTCGTTCTTTGTTGCTCAGCACACCAACGCTTCGCAGTTGTTGGGTTAGCGTCCATCTAGCTAAAGCAGATTGTACGACATTCGTACGATCAAGGCAGTCCATGCAATTGGTGCGAACCACAGATGTCTGATTCTTGTAAGTAACATTATTATTTTCAGATTCTTCACTATGAAAATATCTAATAATAATACAAATACAGTGAGTGACAATTTATTATGTTAAAAAAAAGGTCGTAAAAAAAATCGTATAAACCCTTGTTGTAGCAATTCTTCTTCGATGGAGTCAATTAAAATTTGAATCCTATCCCACTGCATTTTTCGACATTCATGGTGAAAATCAAAATGATAATAAATCAGTCTGGGATCATCCAATTGTTTGACGGCCTTTTCGTAAGCTTCTCCAATTGGATACTCGTAACCTGTATTATTAACAAGGTTAACTAGGATTTGTCTCCCGTATAATCTAGTTTGCTCATCAAAGTGTCGGCGAATTGCTTCGTTCTACAATTGTCGTATATAATATGTGAAGAATTAAGCCAATAATAAAATATATCGAAAATGTCAATAATCAAGTAATGCGAATCATCCATCAAATAATATGCTTGCAATGACGTGTTACCTTATTTGGTGAATCCATAATTTGCAATCTTGGCGTATACTTTATATTAGCGACTTGCGCCCAATAAATAGGGACAGAGCCACGTGTTTGAACGTAAGATAACTTAATTTTGCCTTCAAGTGATGTAATCGTATGGCCATTCCCAGCAGGATCCAACAATACTATCTGCTCTGTTTCATTAAAGTTAGATACATTTCCTTCTGCGTCAATACCACGCGAAAAATAACGTGTTCCTAACACATACAAACAGAGAACACTGTGAGAGATGACATAATAAAATCTTTCTCTAAACTCTTAATGTAGTGTTAGATACGAACCAACACGATGTCTACTCCGACGAGAAATTAAAGAAAATATGATGTCTCTATTATTTATTTTTGCAGGTTCAATTGAGACGACTAGTTACATAAAGATGGAAATAAAAGGCAGAAATAAAAATTAAAGCTATAAAAATTGAATAGCTAATGATTAAACAACAAAAATGTTTACTGATTACTATGACTTACATCCGAATATCACTGGAAGGATGAAATCGCTTAACTAATAGAAAAGTTATTTATATTATTTCTTGCAAATAAATTTGGCTAGTTAATGCAATAAATAACTTCAACAGAAAACTTACGTCTTGGTCAGGATTGTTAACTGTAAAATTAATCAATTTAGATTGCAAGTAACGATTCCAGAAAAATCTATCATCGGCCTATCAATAATATGAAAAAATAAATAAGTTAACTGTTATTTTATATTCGAATAATGATAAATAAAATTTCAGTATAAATAGTAAAAAAAATAATCGTACCCTTTTCCACAAAGGTTTTGAGGCCGAATCACTTAATTGTTCTTGCCTTTGCAGAGTGTGTGTCAAATCATAAGTATATGAAAAATAGTAGGCTCCAGATTTAAGTAAACTTTCAACAAGCGACAAATAACGTTTCTCATCTTGCGACTTAATTAAAAGACATTGTTACATCATTGAAATTCTTATGTTGGCATACTAATATAATACCTGTTGTCCAGATAGCCGGAAATTATTTTTCGCAAAAGGAAGAATTCGAAACTGATCCGCCTGAAAAATATCGTGTTTGCCTAACCTTCCGATTCGTTCCCGGCCAGTTATCACGATAAGATACTCGCCTAACGTCGGATCATAAAGTTAATCAAAGCTATCGTAATTGTTAAAAATTGTTACTTGACCTACCAGATAATAATTTTATAACACCAAAAATACCAAATATAGTCAGTGCTTCGGAATTAGCATTTGGAATTGATTCACGATCTTCTTAATGTTAGTTACGGTTAAAGAAAAATTTTTATTCAAAAGCACAAAAATAAATATATAGTTTTATAAGTACCGCTAAGTACAAATGCGCCGGTAGTTCTGTTTATGACGAGGGTGTGAGCTAGTATAGTTGGGTCAAGATAGTATGGTACTAGAATGTACGAATCATTTGTAGCATATCTGTAATGAAATATTATTTGTGACGAGCCAAACGAATAAATGTTAGTTGTTTAATGTGCTATGTACACTATACCCAACCCGCGATCCGTTATCCATTTACATAATTTAACAGATATTCGTCTGTTTATAATTTTATAATAAATTAAAAAACAGTAAAAAAGCTAGCGGATATTTGGATCGCATCTCTGCCCGTCACTACCCTGTAACCTACAAGCTCAAAGATTCATGTACCATTGTGAACGAATGTGTAATTTGTATTATCGAAACAAGGTCTTTTAAAATCGCTTACGAGAATGGTAAAAACGATGCAAACTATTTATGTTGTGCTTCTGTGGCGCAGTAGGATAAAGATGTAATGTATTGGCATTGTAGTCATGTGACTAGGGATGGGCAATTATACGAACCGTATAAAAAAAGGGCGTCCTTAAAATGTACCCGGGGTATAGGCTCTTAAAACTACCCCAACGACACCTCAAATTTTTCTGCAATCACGTGAAGTTTTAGCCAATCAGAATCTAATACAATTTAATTACGTATACTGATTTCTTTAATGATTATAATAAATAACGTTAATTATTAAAATCGATGAGTTTTTTCTAAAAAAAATGGAAAATACACAAATGCTATCAAACTTTAAACAATGTACAAGATGCAACAAAATCATCAATCCAAACCAATTTCTTAATGTTAATTCAAATAATTCTTTTAATACTTGTTTATCATGTTGGCAACAATCTTCGATCCATTATAAATTATCTACTAAACCTGATGAAAATCAGGTATTATCTTTAAAAGAAATGGCACAACAAATATATAATAAAATGATTAAAATAAGTACAAATAAATATATGAAAAATGTATTAAATGGAATTGATTTCAAATGTGATATTTTCTTTGAAGATCTTGGTGATAATTCAAAAGAAATATCAAATCAAATAAAAAATACAATTGGTGAAATTTTTTTTTTTTTTTTTTTAACTTAAGCAGTCATGCTAGTACTTTATTAAGATTCTTGAAATTACTTTTGCAATTATATAGATTTATCTAACAACTAAGTCTAGCATCATCTAGTTATCCACAGGGTACCTAAGTGCAATCTGTTGTACTACTTCTAACAGAAATAAGTTACTTGTCTAACTACTTAAAGTACATAGTGAAAGGGTCTTCTTCCTTCTACAACAAGTCCCAACATTGTTTTTCTACTTTCTTCATTAATTCTATTTTTTTCTCTTTTGCTTGTTTCTTTTCCTCTTCAATCTTCTGTTGATTTGTCTTTGCTTTCTTTTTTGGATTCTTTTTCTTTATTTTCTTTTTCTTTATTTTGGTTGTTATGTCTTTTTTTTTCTCTCATTCATTGATCTTTTTGTATTGTATTCTCCAAACCTGTTTATAGAATGTGTCTTATGCTGTTTTTGGTACTGTCTTTATAAACTGTTATCTTGTCTTCGTATTTAGAAGTTATGTTAGTCTGTCTTGTGTTTTTTTTCGAATTAGGCTTTTGATTAATGCTTCTCTTATCTCTATTTCTTCTGTTTCATTTTTCTTGAAAAGTGCTATATATAGTATATATGATAGGATGTGGGTTTTTCTTCTTCTTTCAACCCTTTTCAGGCTGTTGTAATAGTCATTTTTTGAATTCATTTCTACAGGCTCTGTTGTCCTTTACATGATGCTAAATGTAACTGTGTTTCTTTGACTTTATCTTAACATACTTGATACTTCATTGTTGTATATATGTTTGGTCTTCTTCTATTAAGTTCTTCTAAAGTTGAAAGTTTATCTATCATACACTTTATAAACATACATCTTCTTGTACTACCTCTTCTTATTGTGCAATACATTTCTTTAGTTATTTTTAACCTTTTCTAAAATTGTGTTCAGTCATGAATTATAACTTCTGTATTCAGTTCTAACTTTCTGATTGCATTTGTTTCTTTCTATTCTGTTTCTAATCTTGCATTTGTTATCAATTTGTATAACAATTTTGCAAATATGTCAGTTCATTTGTTTTTTCACTTTAGTTAATACTTTATCTCTTTACAACTGACTTTCTCTATTTATATTATTTTCTTACTTATTGTTTTCTTCTTTGCAAGACTATCAGCTTTGTCATTCTATTTGTTTTAGCTATAACTTTTAACTTTCACTTACTCAATCTGTATACTCTTTGTGCTAATAAGATCTATAATCTTCATTATCTATATCAAATTTTTCTTTTTAAGAACTTTTATTCTATTTATTTGCTCTAAACCTCTATTAATGTTTCTAATTACAACATTACTATTTGTATATATTTCTACTTGTCTTTCTCTTGGTACTGTTAAGATTGCTACTCATATTGTTACTAATTCTGCTAATGTCAATGTCATTCATCCTTCTACATCAGCAAAAAATATAAGCAAAATATTGCAAAAGATTTTGCATACTGAAAATCTTTCAAAATAATTGCGATTGATGCGAAATTCTTTCGAAATAAAAAAATTTCGCAATATTGTAAAATAATCGAAAAAATTTCGCAATATTGCGAAATTATTAGCAAATTTTTGCAATAATGCAAAATAATTAGAAAATTTTCGCAATAATGCGAAACAATTAGAAAATTTTCGCAATAATGCAAATTACTGTAATTGGAAAATTTTCGCAATAATGCGAAATAATCAAAAAAATTTCGCAATATTGCGAAATAATTAAAAAATTTTTACTATTACTAAATAACAAAAAATTTCAAAACTATTTATCAATTTATTTAATTTTTAAT